CGTAAAGCCAGAAACCGCCCAGACCGTGCGTGGGGGCAGAAGGGCTTCAGGACTTAGACGGGATAAAGCTGCAGCAGGCACGGGGATTTTGGGTCTGAGCCGGGGAAGGAAGGAGGCAGGCTGGGAGTCCATCAGAGAGGCCAGTGTGGCAGCAGGCTGCTGTCCAGGGCGCAGAAACAGCTGCCCCAGGGGGTGACGGAATATGCAGGTGCAGCTGCTCTGGATGAACAGGGTCTCCAGGGGCAGATGAAGGCTTTGGCTTTAACCCCATGGCCCCCCTGCCCGGACCAATCCTATTGTGCAGGAGGTGAAGGTGGCAAGAGACCCTCAACCTGGCCTGGGCCCCCACCAGCCTGGGCCCTGGCTATTTCCCCGGCTAGCTGTGTCCTCCGAGGCCTGTGGGTTTGCAATGGACACAGGCCACTAGCTAGGGCAGGGCAGGGAGAAGGTGCTGGGGCAGAGCTGGGGTCCCACCTTGTCCCACCCATGAGTCACAACACAGAGCAGAAGGCCAGCCCCAGGAGGCCTGCGTCCAGCAGCCCCACGCAGGGAGGACCCAGGTGAAGCAGTGAGCTCCTCTGGTGCCAAGCCAACCACTCTTGAGCCTGGCAGGCACAGGTGGGGGCACGTCCACGGTCCATGGTCACCCTCTACCGTGACAGGTCCCTCTATGCTCATCAGTCCGCAGGGAACCCCCACGTGCAAGACTCGGGCCAGCCTGTTGTCCCCATGGCTTCCCTCACAGCCTCCGATCTTCCCTGAACACCCCTCCAAAGGAGAGATCCCCGCCGGTGCTTGCCCTCTGGGGCTCTCGGGAGGGTCCTGGGTCTTGTGCCAGTGAGCAAGGATAGCATCCCCCTCTGAACCCTGCACATCTACAGGAGGCCCTCCTCCCACATCTGCTGAAGCCCTGGGTGGAGGAAGAGAGGGGAAGGGCAGGCTGTCGGGGTCTAACCCTGCCACACCGAGCTACGTCTGAGCTTGGTGGCATCTCTGGTGAGGCTTGGTAACATCCACTTATTAACAGTTACAGCTGAGTGGCCCTGAGGGTAGCACTGTTCCCGAGACCCCCTACTGCTGGGGGGCCTGATCCCCTTCTGCTCAGTGAAGGGAGGGGGGCCGTGGGGAGGGGCATGCCTCCTGCAGAGACCCCAGCCCTGCTTGCTCCTCCCTGCACGCAGTCCGGGTTTGAGGGTCCCCAGTGGACCGAGAGCTGAGGAGTCCTTGCCCCAGGGGCCACGGCTGTCAGTCACCCCCCTGCTGGGCTGGCAGGGGTCTGTGCTCGAGTCCCTGCCCCACCATGCCCCCGCAGTGCAGGACTGCGTATCTTCCCGCTTCCCAGCTTGTTGTGTGAAATAATATTTGGCATTGCTCAACGCCACAGAAACAAGTCAGGCTCCATCCTCTTGTCAGAGGAGTGAAGGCAAACAGCCAAATGGGGTCCTTCTGGGTGTCTTCCTGACCCCTGGAGGCCTGGCCTCTGCGTCCTTCTTGCAGCAGGCCGGTGCTCCCCCCGCAAACCCCAGAGTCCCCGAGAGCCTTGACCCCTGGATGCTTCTGAGGGTCCACCCATCCTCCACTCAGATGCCTGGGGAGAGGGGAGGGCGCCGGCCCTGACACTGTCTCCAACTGCCCGTCCCCCTGTTGCCCCGCTGGGCTGGGTCCTGGCCTGGCAGACAGCTGTGGGAAGCAGGTGGTCCGGGGCATGCAGGCCAGGAGGTGGTCACATTCCAGGCCCTTTGTCCTCACCTGAGGCTCTCCCCACCCCAGCCTTTCCCACAATTCTGCTCCTTGCAGGGGATGAGGCAGTGGTGTCCCCATGTCCCCCCGTACCTCAGGGCACAGAGCCCACCTGCATCTTCCTGAGCCTGGGGGTACGCCGGACTGAAAGCCTCTCATCTGTGTTACAAGAGAAGGTGGAGAAAGACTTAGGATGACAAAAGCCCCCACCTGTGTCGATGTCTCATCACAGTGCCGGTTTGCGGGGTGACTGGAGCTGTCAGCAGCCCTTCCAGGAGGAGGGTTCATGGTTGGAGGGGCCCTGCAGCCTCCAGCTGTGAAGCAGACCCTCAGACCCCTAAGTCTGTCCCCCCAGGACCATGGTGCCATGTGCTCAGGTGCCCAGGTGCACAGGACAGTCAGCCGTGGAGGTGGGGGGAGGGGGGCAGGGCCTCCTTGAGCTGCTCCTGGGCTCCTGGGCTCCTGCGCACAGGGCCAGGGAGCTGCCCTGAGGTGGGGCAGGGAGTCCTGAGCCCCAGGCCTTGCATGGCCCAGGTGCACTTCTGTGGAGAACCCTGCTCCCTGGGACCCCAAGGCCTGGCCCCACGGGCAGTGATGAAGGTCGCCCCGAGACCTCAGCTGCCCCTGGAAGGTCTGTGAGCTCTGGCTCTGCCCTTCTCCCCGGCCCGGCCCCCCCAGGAGGGGCTGAAGCAGCCTCCTTGGCCCACGTGGGCCGAGTCCCTCCCACCCTCCAAGGCCACAGCGCGTGAGGCTGCAGTGACTCATTGCTGGTGGCTTTATTTCTCCGGAGAGCAGGAAGCCCACAGCCCTGCCCGCCCACTCACAGCCTGCCAAGAGTCAGGGCAGCAGCACCCCCGCTCACCCCACGGAGCCTGCCCTGGTGCCTGGGGGCTGCAGGGGGAGGGCTGGGGGGGAAGGGCTCCAGGATAATGCTGCTGATGGTGTGTGGGGTCCTCCCGAGCCCCCAGCCTCATGGTGCATGGGGACAGCCTGCAGCCCCAGGACCCCATGCCAGCCCCCTGCCCCCCGAAACATCCTCACAAGGTCTCTATACATGGGTCCTGCCAAGCTGGGCAGAAGCCTGCCTCCATCCTCCACTTTGGGAATCAGTGATGGGGGGGCACAGGCACTGAGGATGAGAAGGGGACTGGGTCAGAGGCTCTGGGGGCCCATGTCACAGGCATCCAGGAGGGGAACTCCAACAGTCAGGCTTCCCCTGGCTCCTCCTCCCTGAGCTTGGGGTATCAGCTCAGAGCCCAGGCCGGGCCTCCCTCTGTGTGCGTCTTAGGGATGAGGGTCTCAGGTGATCTCAGCTGCCCCTGCCCCCGACACCATCCCTGTTTCCAGCTCTGCCGGCCCCAATAAGACCTAGCAGCACAGCCTGGGAGCAGGAGGGGTTCATGAGAGGGACAAGGCCACACTTGAGCCAAAGAGCTTTGAAAACAGAGAAGCTCTTCTGACTGGGCTCCTGGTACAGTGTCTGGCAGGGGATAGAGAAAAGGCTCCCCCCAGCTGGCTGCTCCTGGAACCCTGGGCAGCCAGCACCGAGCCTCACAGGCTCCCCTCCGGCCCCCAAGCGAGCAGGCGTAGCATCACCTGGAACCTGGCTGGAAATTGCAAACCAGCAGCCCCCCCCAACCTGGGAGCCCCTTGGACCCTCCAAGGGCCAGCCACCTCCACCCAGGCCCCGTGCCTCCTCTCTGGGGTGAGCAGAGAGAAGACCTCTGCCATCCACTCCTGAAAGCAGAGCAATGTGTAGCTCTAATTAAATCAACTGCTGACACTGGCATTTATTGGCGCATCCCGAGGCCCCGGGCCTACTCGGGGTGACAGACGCCATTTCTGCCCACATTGGAAAAATCTCTGGGGCTGCTGTTCGCAAGACTTCACCGAGTCCCAGGGGAGTAGGCGCTGAGGGGCTGGTGCTGCCTTAGAAGATGCTCAGCACAGGGGTTCGACTCAGGAAAGCCCCTAGCCCTGCCCTGCCTTCCAGGAGGGCAGGAGGGCCCCGGCCACACACAGGATCTTCCTGATCCCTCTGCCTCCCCAGAGTGACGTGACACTCTTTTCCGGCATGTGCTCTCGGCGGCGGGGCTTACTTATTATTAAAACATTCAGTCCGACAACAGGAAGTAGGGTTCAGAACGCCCCTCTGCTGAACTCGCAACCTCGACTGTGGGCGGGCAAGCGCTGTGAGCTCAGCTGTCCTCCCGATTCGAACGCAAGCCGACATGGTGGGGTCTGGTAGAATGCTCTGCTTTGGGAGGTGAGCACAGCAGTCTTAAAATCCCTTTCCACAAGCTTTGGCAGCTCCTCACCGTCCTTACGCACTGACCTCGTTCACAAATGTGACTTTTACCAGCTGCAGCTTCAGTAAAGGATCATCCCGACGGCTCAGCCTGCTTCCCAACCATTTCAACCAGCGTGCGCCATGTGCCGATGGGAACGACTGCACTGTAGGTGGGGGCCACTGGACCTCGGCCCAGCCAGTCTCGGGCTGGGTGGGGAAGAACCTCCAGGTGCCCAGGGCCACTGAGGGCCGCTCAGCACACAAGGCAAGGAGAGCCGGCTCCTTCCCAAGCCCCACAGGCTCTGGCCCCGCTGAGGCCCTGCACTCGCCTTCCCTGGCTCCCTGGCGGGTGGAAAAGCACCTCCCCTGAGGCTGACAGAGCTTAAGTGCCGGGTGTTTACCCAAGACAGCTATTTGGGGAAAAGGCAGAGAAAAGCAACATTTCTTCCAGCTTCCTGCCAGCTTCCTTTGCATATGAATTATTCCCAAGAGCTGGTTCTGCTAGTCTCTTACCGGAAGACTCTTTTGCTTTTTCCAGCCAGGACAATTTGAGGTGAGGGAACGTTGTCACCCTCTGTAAGGAACCACGACAGAAGCTTGAAAAACACTCCCTCAGCTAAGAATAAATGGCCCCAGCCAGAGTCTGGAAGACACCAGCCTTCAGCGAGACTCCCGGGCGCCGCCACGGGCTTGCTTCCGGCCCTGGCCTTGTCCCCCAAATCAGCAGAGCTTCCAGTGGGGCTGGGGGCCGCCGCACGCTCAGGGAGGCCAGGCCCAGGGAGCGGTCTTTGGGAGGACCCCCCAGCACAGAGCTCCCCGTCCCATCCCCCGGGCCCCTTCCCGGAAGGAAGACGCTTCACCCCCCCCGCCCGGAAGCCGGGGAAACCCGGGAAAGTTGAAGGGCAGCGGGCGGCGCACTGGCCTTCAGCACCGCGGACAGCTCTGAGAACGCGGCGACCCCCGCCCCTACCTGTCGTCGTTCTGGAAGGACTGGTCTCCCAGCAGCAGGTCCCGGAAGCGGTACCGCGGCGGCAAGGGCAGCACCTCCGTGTCCAGGTCGCTCATCTTGAAGCTGGCGGTGTCCGGCCGCACGCCGTCCCCGCGGCCGCCGTCCTCGCCGCTGGGCTGCCTGCGGGCACACGCCAGCGCCCCCTCAGCCCGCGCCCGCGCCGCACCCGCGCCCCCCACAGCCCCGCCTCCCGCAGACCCCCGCCCGCGGGGTCAGCTGAGAGCCATTCCCGGTCGGCACTCCCAAGTACCCCCCAACACCCACCCCCTCCCCCCGGCTCCCCCCCCTGCCGGCTGGGTCAGTCACGCACAGGTACAGCCCTCCCCACCCTGCACCCACTGCCCCTCCCCCCTGCAGCCCCCTCCCCTTCCAAAGACCCCTGCCTGATCAGCCCAGAGCAGCACCCCCCTACTCTGGCTGCACCCCACAGTCCCCCCCTCTCTCCCCAGCCCTGCCTCCTGCAGGGCCCGGTCACTCAGTGCAGCCCTCCCACCCTCCCTGGCCTGCCCCCAGCAGCCCCACCCTGCCTGCCAGGCCTGTGGCCGCTGGGATGCACGGCACCTGCCTGGGGCTCACTCCAGAGCACACAGGGGAAGGTTTGTTAAGGCCATTTCAGGGCCATGAAGCCCTCCCAGCGGCCCCCTCCACAATCCTTGCTGCTAAGGCTGCCTGCTCAGCTTTCCTCCAGGTCCAGAACACCTGTCTTTGACCCAAAGACCTCCTCCCAGACCCTCAGGCTCCTGGGGAGGGGGATGCCTGACCAGGCTTAAGAGGTCTTTGTCCTCGGCTTTCCTGGGGCCAAGTGGCTTGTCTCAGAGCAGCACCTAGGAGGGGGTGTCATTGGGGGCAGGCAGGGTCCCTCTGCGCCCCAGACCTGCCCTTGGCGGTGTCAGCAGGATTCTGAGACCACAGAGACCCCTGCCCCTATCACCTGAGTTGAACAGACCTGGATAGGCTGGAACAGGGGATTGGGGGCCAGACTAGGCAAACTGAGGGGGTCCCTCGTGGTCTTCAGCTTTTTGAGGTGCAAGCATGTGTCTTCCAGGGCTCCTGCCCCTTTCTTTTCCCCATCGCCACATTGAAGTGAGTTTTGGCTAGTTACCCACGATACGAGTCGGGGTAGGTACCAGCAGAGCCACCCCGGGCTCCTGGCCTTCTGGGGCAGCAGCTCCCAAAGCCCTGTGCACATTAGCCCTCTCTGCTTTCCAGGTGAGAGGGTCACTAGCCACCCCATTGAGCCCCATAACCCCATAACAGCACGGTGGCACCTGACCCAGCAGGGCAGCTGCACATCTCTTAATGGGATACCTTGGGGACACGCATCCCCGTGGCACAGATGTGCAAAGAGACCCAGGCTCCCGACCTCAACCAGCGCCTGGACTCCTGGTCCTCTGGCACCGGCTGGCCTTCTAGGTGAGTCCAGCCCCAGCTAACCCCTTGGTGTTGCTTCCCAGACAGCCCATGATGGGATGCTTGGGAGAAAGCAGGAATCCTCCCCTCGCAGCCCCCACCTCCCGGGCTCACCCTCACCAGGCTCCTCTAAGAGTCAAGACCCTCAGGAGGGCAGCACATCAGCTGTGATTCTTTAGAGTGGGTGGGTTCTGGGCTGGGCCTCCTGGGAGAGCAGAAGGAGCTGGGAGACAGTGTCCTCCACCTTAGCAGGCCCTTTCCCTGTTCTAAAGCCTGACTGGCAGGAGAGTGCAGAAGGACGCAGGGGCTGGACTTAGCCTCCAGGCAGGCACAGGAGTCTGCTGACCACACTCTGCTCCCTGAGCTGGAAAAGGCTGTGCCCAGAGGCTGGGAGCGGCACTCACCTGGAGCACAAGATCCACGCAAGTGCTGGGCAGGCGGGCGGGCGCCTAGAAACTCTCCTCTGTCCTCAAACCTGGAGAGGCAGGCACGTTCCCTGAGCCCCCAGCGAGGGCCCGTCCCACGCTCCCTGTCCCCTGGACAGGCAACAGGGGGGTCTCGGCACCCCCATCCCACAGGTGTCAGAGCTGCTCAAGGACTGTCCCAGGCTGAAGCTGCAAGTGGCAGGCGCAGGCCTGACACGCCCGCATGCTATTTTCCCAGGTTACAAGGTCAACCCCGAGGATCTGGCAGCGTTTGAAAAATAACATTTTCCTAATTGCATCAGTGTGGCTGCATGTTTTTCCTTAGTCATAAGCTGGCTGGGCTGTGGGGAGGCGCGGGCAGGCAGGAGAACCACGTGGCCAGAGGCTAGGGGCTGTAACTTCTCCGTTTTGCCCCTCTCTCGCTGAAAGCCCCGAGAGACTGCTGGCTCCCCAGGCATAGCTGCCCCTGATTCCTTCCCCGGTGTGAGCTGCTTTGGGTTTTCTCTCTGTCCCAGCCTCAAGGCCCAGAGCTGGCAGGGTCCGTGGAAGAGCTCAGAGGGTGGAAGCTCCAGGGGGCTTCCAGGGGGGACACGGGTGGGGGGGACAGGAAGTGCACCAGGAGCTGGGAGGCCTGGCCCCATACCCCTGGGGCAGGCGATAAAGGTGTGCTGCCCTTCATCCCCGATGGTGCCACTGGGACACTGGACATGCGAATGAGTGAACGGACACCCACAGGCCTCCTGGTATCCTGCCTTGTTCCCCCAGCAGAGCTGAAAGCTCAGGGCCATTTGTTGTGCTAGCTGAGGGCCGGGGCCCCCGGAGTCTCCTGGAAAGGTGCCTGTGGCTGAGCCACGCTCCCCGAGGCATTGGGGTCTGGTTGAGACCTCTCCGTAAGCCCCAAGGCATGTGTCCCTGAGAGCTTCCGGGCACATGGGAGTGGCGTGCTGTCCCCCCATCCCTGCCGCAGCTGAGGTGGTCTGGGTGGGGCAGGAACAGGACCCTGGCTTGGCTGCCCAGACACAGTGTACTTCCTGCTCCCTTCTCCCCACCTGACCTGAGGGAGCTAGGGAGGAAGTCTGGGAAGCCCGAGACCATGCTGGTTATCTTTACATCTCCTGTGACAGCCGCACCAAAGGACTGCTGATGTCTACACGAACTGTGTGCTCTGCTGGCCCAAGGAAGGCATCCAACTGCCCAGCCCTCACATGCCCTCAGGACAAGATGGGGAGCCCCCTCTGTGGGACCTGCCAACCCTTGGAACCAGGACAGGGTGGGGGGCATCCCTGCTCCTCCTGGGGACTCTCAGGGCCTGTGGACACAAACGCATGAGGCCCAGGTGGCAGCCGAGGGTCCTAAGGACTTGAGCGTGGTTCAGGCCTGTCCCATCGGTTCACACTGGGCAGCCCCAGGGGAGTCACCAGCCCTCTCTGAGCCTCAGCTTCCTCATCTGTAAGTGAGGGTGCCTTCCATCCTCCTAGGTCGGTTGTAAAGGGGTAAGAAGGTGAGTGTGAGACGTTCGGCACAACCCCTGGCACAAGACAGCTTAGTCTGCATCAGTGTTTAATTCTGGGCTGGCTGTGGCCAGCGTTTGGCCACGTTCCGGGGGGTAAAGGCTCTGACCCCAAGCGTCCCTGGGATGGCCCACCCCCCATCCTGCCCTCTCCAGGTCAGCTGGAGGCCCCTTTGGGGAGCTGGGACTTGTGATGCTGACCTGTGGGATCCAGCCGGAGAGGCCAGGGATGGGAGTGGATGTATGCAGCCTGGCGCGCAGCAAGAGAAGTCCCCCTCAGCAGTCCAGTGCGTGCGTGGTCATGTGCCCTGAGCCTCCAACCCCGTGGGAGGGAGAGCCTCGGCAGCACTGCGGGGTGGTGGCATGGGTCCTGAAAACAAACTGCACGGAGCCAGGACTCACTATGCCTATCATCTGAGATGAGGACCCATGGGCTCATGGAGCCTGAGGAGCTTCACTGAGGTCCTGAAGCTTGGGAAGAGGCCACCACGGTGGGAAGCCAGGTTGGCCTGATGCTGAAGCCTTCCTATTTAGCAGCATATGTGCTTGCTGCCTTTGGGGGGCGAGGGGAACTCCCGAGAGCCAGGGATTTCTGCTTCTCTGTCCTGCTCGCATCCACCCTCTTGGTGCTCAGAGTTAGTCGGCAGGACTATGGGAAGGTAAATAGTCAAAGACCTGCTCCGCCCACCAAAGGCACCAGGCCCTAATGGTTTTACACTCAAGTCTGCCCCCTCAGTCAAACCGCTCCAGAGCCCAGGAAGAAGTGGAAGCTCCTCTGCTTATTTCCCAAGGCTGGCCCAAACCCGTCACTGAAATCACACCCACACAGAACCAACGCGAACATTAAACTGTCTCCCTTAAGACTCTATGTACAAACAGCTTGAATAAACTGTTAGCGAATGGATCCAGTAGCCTATTAACATTGCAAGGACAAAATCAAATAGAGTTTATCTAAAATAAATGCAACGTACTTCATTCTACTAAGCAATTCAAAGAGGAAATCCATTTGAGTTACACCGGCAGATATGGAAGAAAACATTTGTTAAGAATCAAAATCCACTGATACATCAGACGTAGGAAGAAACAGCCCCAACTTAATTAACAACAAGAGGAATCTTCCAGAAATCGAGGCCAACATGGGGATGCCAGTCTGCCCGCCATGACGGGAGTCCTGGCCGGCCCACGAGACAAAGAAAAGAGCGAGAAGAACAAAGCTGAAAAGAAACGCGCACAGCTGTAATGGTGTGCAGCCAGAACAACCACTTGCCTAGAAAACCCGAGAGAATCGACTGAGAAACTATTAGAACAAATGAAAGCATCTAATAACCGGGCCCCACCTGAGCGCATCCCACAAGCCAGGAGCGGGAACAATAACACAGTGGCAAGTGTCTCGGGCGGATCCTGCTCGCTGCGGCCACACAGACCCGAGCCCCTGGAGCCGATGGGACCACGGGGCAGACCGCATTGCACTCGGACGCTGGCTGGAAGCCGTCTCTAGCGGGACGAGGAGGTCATGTTCCCAATGGCTCAGCAGTCCATTCCCCAAAGTGGCAGTTAGTTCCCATCAACACATGTGGACAATTTCTCAAAATATGACAAATTGCTTCCGAAATTCAGACCGAAAAATAAACGTGCAACCAGAGCCAAGACAGGTCTTGTGGCTACCCAGACTGAGCTGCAGCCATGGGAGCCCTGGGGTTGGCACAGGAAAGGTCATGCGGCAGGGAACTGGGGACGTGCAGGGGGTGGCGGTCATGGTGGACCCCCGCCCCCCG